TTGATAAATCCTCTCTTGAACTTCATCGCGAAGCGCTTCTTCTTGTTCGCGCCTATGGCTGTTGCGTGCGGCAATGGTGCGATTTGTGTTGTGTAGTGCATGTTGCGCCTCAAGTGCTCGAGCTTCTCGCCGTCGTTGTTCTCTATGTTGTGCCTCGGCGTCTTGTGCATCTTGGTGTTGTCGCGCTCGCTCTTCCTCTTCTTGTTGACATTGGTGTTGCCGTTCTTGTGCTTGTGCAAAAGTAGCTTGGTTTTGACGATGTCGATGCTCTTGCGCTCGAAGTTGCTCTTGAGCATCGGTTCCATGTAGAGGATTGTGGTTTGCTTGACGGTCTTGGCGCGCGGCACGTCGAAGAGTATTTTATGTTGGAGTACTTGAGCCGGAGATGGTGTCGTCGGAGTGTCGACTTGAGTGGCTCCGTCTTGAGTAGGACGAAGTGGTAGAAGAGCGGTTGACTAACAAGGCACGAATCTCGTCCATTCTTGCGTCATTCTCTAGTTTTGTGTTCGTCGAGCTTGTTGTTGAAGTAGTCCCTTGTACGTTGCTCGAAGAGTCGCATGCCAGTGGCGAGGTTGTCAATGCGTTTGCTCATTGCTTGTTGCTCTTGATGCAAAGCTCGTTGTGCACCAAAGAGGTGGCTCTTTGTGATGTAGGAGGACATGTCGTCATCTTGCTCGATGAAGAGTGGGTTGGTAGAAGTACTTGGCCTATACATCATTCCAAGCAAATATGTGAGTGGGAAAAAGAGAAGAACTTATACCAAATGTACCTTGAATGATGTTGAAGATGGATCAATGATCACTCAAATGTGGAACAAGGAAATAGCACAATTGGTACCAATTCTTGCCGGTTTCTCACACCTACACAAGTAAAAGCTTATAGTGGAGCTCGGTTAGGATGGTGGCACAAAATTTGATGCAATTGTTAGTGAGCCTCAATAATGTTGGAAAAGATTCACAACTTTGCAAATGCAACAAGTAGACCAATAGCAAGATATGGTACACGGAAACGCACACACGGGGAGATAAATGGGGTCGTGCAACCAAGGAATGAGCCAAAATGTGGAATCCACGAAAATGCTCTTGTTGCACAACACTAGAGAGACACTAGCACGATTGCACAATAGGAAGATCAGAAGACTTGTGCACAACCTACTAAGCAAAAATGCAACGACTTCTATCCCAAGTATGCTCTATGTATGGTATTCTGATGATATGATCCAAGATGATCGAGTATGGTAATCTTAATGTAATATGATGCTATGGTTCTTGCTTAAAAGCTCTTTGCTTATCTTTCTATTTTGCTTAAAAGCTTGTTTGGTTGTGATGGGCTGGCTTATTAGGGATGATAGGCTACTCATATAAATAAGGAATTCCTTCTTTTCCAGGAGCCCATTCGGACATAACTCCAAAGTTAAGCGTGCTCAACTTGGAGTAGTGTCAGGATGGGTGACCGACCGGGAAGTTGCTCCTGGGTGCGCACGAGTGAGGACAAAGTGCGCACAAAAGACTAGTATTGATCTGTGGGGCCAGTCTAGATCCCGCCAGGAGTAACGACCACCGGCGGGTGTGTCCAGGGCATTACATTGGCTCCTTTTTCTTTTGAGCAACGCAAAAGATGATACCAAGATATGTACCAAGATGATATGGTAAGTATGCAATGGGAAGTATGACCACTAATGTGCACATGTGATGTTGCCGGCAATACTCAAAGGCTAGTCTCGATGGGTAAGATACGCAAAATTAGGCTATGATGGTTATCAATGTAATGGCAAGGAGTAGATCAAGATGTCGTCGAGATTACCGTTGAGGGCTACATGTGTAAGCAAGGACGGATGATGGTGAAGTGGTTGTTGTCGATGACGAATCTGTGGCGAATATGAGCGGCAGTGATGTTGATGTCGAACCGTCCCTAAGTAGCCAAAACACATTAGGAAACGGAATCTGCAACTAAAATTCTCAAAGCAAAATGTGTCGGAGTGCGAAACGAGTAAGCAATGGTGGTTGCGGAAAGTGATGATGGTATCAGGGTGCGTATTTGGAAGTGGAATGGGTATTGGAGTGCATATGCGGAACTGGGGCGGTGGCTTTCGGGCGATGATTTTTAGTTTCGTCAGGAAACATCGGACGTCCAATGGATGTCGGACGACCGGTCGTCGGACGTCCGCTAGCTGGCGGGCGTCCAGTGCCTGGACGATTTCGGGCACGGGATGAACGGCTAGGGTTCATGGTGGAGGTGAAAAAATTGGTCAAATCCGAGCGATTTTGTGAAAATGGTGGAGATGATGGGGGAAAGCTAGATCCACTCGTGGCAAAGCAAATCCATGGATCAAATCCAACAAAACTTCATCACACCAACAAATTACAGAAAAATTGGGGTTATTTTTGATGGGGATTTTCGAAATTGGGGAAGAACACAACGAAATCAAGCTAGAAAACAAGGGGTAGGGGCTCCAAATACGTGATCAACGTGGCTCATGATATCAAGATGATGTAGGGTGGAAACCCTAGGGGCCGATCTTTCATGATTGGAGCGGATCCTACAAAGAATACGAAGAACACGAGGGAGAAAACACGAGGGGAAAAGAGAGGAATCACTCAAATCAACAAGAAACGATCACACATGTGCTAGATCCTTGAAACACAAAAGAGGTACAAGATCCGAATCTAACAAAGGACGATACATATGTAACGAGTTTTTCTTCGTGAGGAGGTCTTAAGGTCTTCCCGTTAGGGGTCTTGAATCCAAGTGGATCTTCTCCGAGGAGGTGACGGTCTCTCTCGGTGGAGTAGATCCAGATGGATGAGTGAGGCTCAATCTCACATATGAGCTATCACAACGTTGCCCTACCTAGGAGGATGAGGAGGAGGAGGTATATTTATAGTCTTAGTGCAAATGGTGGCGAAGTGAAGGGGTACATGGGCTGCGGGCCTGAAACTGTGCGCAGACAAGTATAGGACGTCCAGTGGTTCGCGGGCGTCCGGACGTCCGGTAGTCGCCGGACTTCCGCTATTTTGGCTCGATTGAATTCGCACCGGATTTCCGGAGATGACCGGTCGTCCGGTCGCCTCGGACTTCCGCTGATTTCGCTCGGTTGGGGACCTGCCGGATTTTCGGTGGAGATCGGATGTCCGGCCGCTGGGAGGTGTGGCCGGTCGTCCAGTCGCCGGTCGTCCGCTCGCTGTAGCTTGCGTTGGCTAGGACTTGGGTAGGCCGGGGCTTCGGGTGCTGAATGTCCGGTCCCGACCGGTCGTCCGGCGGTTGGAGCTTCTTTGGCAGCTCTTCTTCTTGTCCCTCATACTCGGTGTCCTCGCGCATCTTGTTCGTTGTATGTAGCTGCTTCGTGGCCTTCCTCCAAGTACCTGATCACACATAGTGTCTCCGCATGAGGTAGTAGCCATGTCGCCTGTGTAGAAAGTGGTAGTTCGGAGAGGAGCGAGTTCACCTTATCTTCGATAGCCTTTGCTCGAGCTCTTGTCATTGGTCCAAGTGGTGCCGTGGGAGACGTAGGTAGGTCCATCTGGATGACCTCAGGATGCTCCGCATCATTTGGTGTATAAGGGCATCTCCAATAGTGACCCACAAATTTTCTCGTGCATCCGTCTACAGACAGGGGGATCAGTCCGGACACGGATGCGGGAGAACGCCATCCAACCGTAGCTATATATGTTTGCCAGCAAATTCAAATTCAAATGTATGCTGACCCACACAATGTGCTGGATCACACCCGCGCCGTATCGCATCCCCGATCACATAAAAAAAGGGCAAATATGCTTAGTTTTTACATGCCCGAATCCAAAAGAACATCAGTACGGTAGTCCATTTACGTGCCGGGCCGGCCATCCCAGCAAGCTCATGGAACCATATGTGAATATTCCTCCAAAAGGTTGTGCCATTTTGCTCCGTGCCATGGACAGGACCGAGGCTAGTGGCCAACCATGCATCGCACAACAACTCGTCCTCCCGCATGTTTAAGCTTTCTCCTCTACCCTTCTTCTTCGGATCGCCGGTTGTATCCATCATCGTCGCCGTCCTCCTCCTCCTCCCCCCCCTCTGGATGCTGCTCTCCGGCGACCCAATGTTGTTATTGTTGTGTGCCATCGCCGTCCTGGTTGTAGGACTGCTGCGTGGCCGTCTGGGTGTAGAATTACTACTGCTGGTAGTTACCGGACTGGGTGGGATTCGAGTCTTCCACTTGCTCGTCCTCATAGCCGCTCCTCCTCCCTTGTCTCTGTCGTGGATGATATCGAGCACCTCCCTGTCCATGTCGTACGCCATCTCTGAGCCGATCTTCCGGGGGAGCGTGATGATCGGATCCTCCGGCAGCTCTGCCAGCTCCATCTTCGACATGTTCTTCGATGGTTCCATGTGTTGGCGGCAGAGGGAATGAGAGGGTGGGAGAAAATAGTGGAAATTGGGCGGAGAGCGGCGAGGAATGGAAGAAGAGAGTGGAGAATTTTGGCGCTGAAATAGTGCGGGATGCTACAAAAGCACGGGCTTCGCCTTCCTTTTCGGTGGGCTAGGAGGGCGAAGAGCGGCATTTTGCGTGTCCGGACTCCTACAAATCTTCCTCATGTTTGTCTCCGGTTTGCAGGAGAAATCGCGTTTGGACCGCACAGCGGACCGATACACGAACGTGTTGGATGGCTTCCGCGGTCCGGACAGCACGGTCCGGACGGTTGTGGAGGTTTGCGGGTCGGCGGCGTTGGAGATGCCCTAACGTTTCTGTATAATTTTGGCTCAAATGTTAGCAGTTTTCAATATGTTCAAACCGGTGATACTTTTAGTTGAACTCCTGTTTTGATGAATCCGTCCGACTATACACATGGTTTCATAGGCAATTCGTATCCTATGCGATTCGTATTCAACCGTGTACATTACTAGTTTACTACACACACCAAATCGGGGCGAGAGCACACACCAAATCCCTCCGTACGCGGCACCGTACGCGCACCACAGAAACTACCAAGGCCGCTCCGGCCGCCACCCGTGGTCCGCTTATGGAGAGTCCTCACGGCGCCTCCCCGGGAGAAGGCGGCGCCCTCTCGCCGTCGCCGGAGGCGGTGGGGATGCTGCACGAGATGGCGCTCCGGGACAGCCAGCAGGGGGAGGAGCCCGATCTGCCCGACGAGCAGCTGCGCTCCAACGACCAGCTCCAGAAAGACGAGGTACTCCCACTGCTACCTCGCTAGGGATTAACCCTCAAGCCTGTTTTCCGGAACCAGGTCGCGAATCCCTCTCGTGATCCCGGCCGTTCGCAGTTCGCAAACTGGAAATTACGAACACCCGTTGCAACTAATGCGCCCATGGACACCCGTTTTCTAGTCTGTAGATTGTGATTCGGAGTAGCTGGAACAGGCTAACAAATAGTAAGATCGCGAGATATCGTAAGGCCAGCTATACAAAGCTTTTGAAGTGAAAGCCTGCGTACGGCGCACAGCTCTGTATCGATGGTCTAGAAAAGATGGCTGCAGAATTAGAGTGGCTCTTCCAAGTTCCCTTTACCTTTAGAATGCAAAAATAATGATGGAATTGATGAAACAAAACCGCAAATATATATAAGTTAGTACCACATACTCCCTCTGTAAAGAAAAGTGATCTAAACGCTCTTGCATTTCTTTACAGAGGGAGTACTTTGTTCTGCGAGACTTTAACTGAAGAAAGTTCTATGCCAAAACACGCGTCAAGAAACAGATGTCGAATGCAGTATTGGTTTTCTCGAAACTAGATGAATGGACACTACAGTAAATTTCAGAACTCCGCCGTCGTAATTTTTCTCTGGTCTATGATTGCATAGATGCTGGCAGTGGAGGCAATTTATGGAGACAATTTAAACATTCTTGGTGAAAATTCTGTACCACGGTATTTCCAGGTATATCTGTTTTATATATTTATTATCTTCTTGAGGAAATTATTGTTGTTTTAATTGGTTTCAGACTCCAGGACCCAGCAATTACCAAAAAATCAACAAAGATTGTGTTACAGTTTTCCTTTTGTTTTCAATTCTTTGCAGATCTATGTATATTGCGAAATTCCAGATGGTATCAGTGTGTCCGCGGAACTCCGAGGTGTTGATGATTACCCAAACAAATTCAGTGTCGAGCACTTGGCTCCAATATCGCTGACATGCCTTATGCCTCCATCTTACCCAAGCCATCATTCTCCATACTTTACCCTCGCAGTACAATGGTTGGATAGTGTGAAGATTTCCTCCCTATGTGACATGCTCGAATCGCTCTGGGCAGCAACCTGGACAGGAAGTTGTTTTTGAGTGGGTCCAATGGCTGCAGAGCTCTACGCTCTCTCATCTTGGTTTTGATGACGGAATAGTAATAAGGGATTCTGATAGTACGATGGATCATGTGGATGTTCGCGTTGTTGGAGGGATTCTGTCTGTAGAGGATGTTGTTCAACAGTTGATCAGCTACAATGAAGAGCAATGCCAAGAATCGTTTCTTCAGGGCTTTCATGTTTGCATGATCTGTTTCAGTGAGTACAAAGGTAAGTCGGATGCTCCATCCATGCTCATGTACTCCCACAAGTGCTAATTGCTGTACCGGGTTATGTATTATAGATTAACTTATGCAAGACTCACAGTTCGTTATTTCACAACTCCAGCTCTTTCATACTCCTAACTTAAATTTGTTGTTCTTGAACAGTAAGGGAGAGTGCTAGCGATAATAGGTATCTATTCGACACCGTACTGGGGCTCCATGGAGTCAGGGCACCATGGTTTCAAATGCACAAATCCAATCCAAAAGTTGGATATATTTTTCAGAAATTTTAGCCCTGGGGTATATACCCAATTATAAGAATTAGCATACTTTGCAATGCACATACATTTCAAATAAAACACTCGAATTTGGATATTGCAGGGCATATCTATTCACATGCCATACTGTTTTCATATAAAATCCCGCACATGCCCGCACTCTAATGAACATTATAAAAAAATACTATGTTAATATTAGTTCAAACTTTTTTCAGTTAGTTTGTATACAAGTTAAACCTGACAAAGGAAATACAAAATTCTTTTGGGCCCCATACCTAGACGAAACTAACGAATTTGTTGCATGGTGCCCCTGCTACCTGTATATACTGTGAGTAAATCAAAGTGATTTAGAATGTTCTGCTGGAACAAAGGTACAGCTCAAACACCTAAAGATAGCTTATCTTCCCTGCAAAAGTTAAATATTGAGCTTCTTTACAAAATTTCTATAATTGACAAGATGAGCATGAACAATCCAAGTTCCACCATGTCCTGAGTCTGGAATATCTAAAAGTTAAATCTGTATCTTTTGATTACTACCAGGCATCGACTTCATAAAACTTCCATGCCGTCATTACTTTTGCCGGAATTGCATGGAGACATACTCACGGATGCATGTGAAAGAAGGATCAGTCATGAAAATTGTGTGCCCTGACAACAAATGCGGAGGTTTTGTTCCTCCTAATCTACTAAAGAGGTTGCTCGGAGAGTCAGATTTTGAAAGGTGGGAAAGACTGATACTTGAAAGGACTCTAGACGCAATGGCTGATGTAGCCTACTGTCCAAGATGTCAGACAGCTTGCCTGGAAGATGAGGACAACGCCCAGTGCCCCAAGTGCCTCTTCAGCTTCTGCACCCGCTGCAGAGATCGTCGTCACATAGGGGAGAAATGCCTTACTCCAGAAGAAAAACTTCTCTCCTTGCAGGTTCAGAATCCCTCTAAGCACTAAATATCTCCTTTTTGTAGTAAGTATTATCTACCAGCTCATTCTCTATTCTTGACCACATTTGGTTTTGATGCCGTATTTGTCCCAACCGAACCTGGTCCAAAGGACAAAATTTTGTAGCCCAACTGGTGTTATGTGCAACATTTGAACATATCTAGTCCATGCAACTAGCAACACAATATACTGGCATGAAGTGCAATTTACTCAAAGAAAATACATTACACGATCACTCTATTTGCTGCCTCATCAAGGCGTTCTTCTTAATGCAAAGATGCCCAGGCCTTCCGCACATTTAGAACAAATATAACTCTACGTATATATTATATCTGTATTCTGGATACAGTAACTATTCATAAACTAATTTTCTTTTCAGCAGAATACATCCTTTTACTTATATGATATTATTTCTAGAAAAATGGACGCTCGAAGTTCCAGCATTTCTGTTAGGGCTATTCATCATTTGTCATAGTGGTGTTCCGTTCAATGAGAACAATATTGAGATCACTGTGTTGAGTGTGTTTTTTTGTTTTTTTTTGTACAGGAACGTGAAAAGGTACGCCACTTAAACAAAGGCGGTACTGGACCTAGTAAATTGGTGGATGAATTATCTAGTATCAAGGAAATACTTCGTTCTTGTGTTCCATGTCCGCATTGTGGTACTGGCATCACACGTGTGTTAGGCTGCAACCATATGCTTTGTAAGAACTGTGGTAAGTTGTTCTGCTATGGCTGTGGCAAGCCACTAACTCCTGCTCATACAAGGTACATTCTTCTGATAAAAATGTGATCTATCAAATATGCTGTCTGGTAGCTATTCTCTGGATACCAAATCTGAACCTATGCTCCCCTTTGAAAGTGAACAATGCAGAATCGATTATGAGAAGCGGACAGCAAAGGTGGATTTGGTTGACGCTGTCAAAGAGCTACAGAAAAAACTGAAAGTGGGTGGATACAAACCGCGTCCATGCCCGAATTGCCACCTGATAACTTACAAGGTGAAGTTTTGGTCTCTTCCGAATATCATATGGATCGGTGATCCTTTTTACTGTGATCTGAATATAGCTGTAGTTTATTTTTCACTTGGTTCTGGTAAATGAAGACTCTGTCTCTGATGTGAGCAGCTGGGAAACAACAACCATGTCTTCTGCGAGGGATGCCAGGTTCATCATTGTGCTCTGTGCCGGAAGGTGGTGCGGAAGAGCTCGGAGCACTATGGCCCTCGAGGGTGCAAGCAGCACACTGTCGACCCCGAGGTTGCTCGGGCTAGACCAAAGAAGAACGATGACTCTCAATCAGAATCCTTGTGAGGGTTTATCATAGGGCGAGCATTGGTTTTGGCTACAGGGAGGCCATTCCTCATTTAGAAGAACAGGTTTATTCCCTACAAGTATATATACAGTTTCAATTTTAAAATAGCAATAGTTGCGCCGACAGTTTCAATTTTACCGAGCATGTCATCGATGATTAGTGAATCTCTGAACCCTGATAATCATTCTATTTTTATGTTAAGCAACATCAGTTCCGTAAAAGGCCTTCGTAACTGCAAAGTTTGCTGGATTCAGTATACCATAATGTTTCAGGCTACACTTATTATATAAGAAAAAGGGTTTCCCCCGCTTTATAGATAAAGCATCACCGAACAACCGAATCCTGCCGATACAAACACACACACACCACATCACACCCACCCAAGGCTGGATACAAGGACGCTGATAACGGCAACACTACCCCAACAAAATCCTAGCCAACATCAGATGAACACAATAAGCACTACTACGAAGATGTCAGGGCCCTCGACTGTGGGCGGGCCACCGCGAAGAGGAGAAGCCGTGTAAGACGAGCAATGAGTTCCAAAGCGGCGCCTTCAGCAAGGGAACGACACCATTGTGTCGCCACCGCCCAATCCAAGGATTAGAGTTTCCCCAGAGCACTCCGACGACAAATGAGATGCCGCGACGGCACCTTCAAGAAGGGGGCGGCGCTAGAACACCGCCGCCGTCGGCTTGGCAAAGCAGAATGGATTTTCACCCCGGCCAACACTCATCGTCACTGGATTGGATGAACGACTCACCCCGGTCAACACGCCGCCCACACGGCCATGCAGATCGGACAGCGCCCGAGCCGCGTGCTCCGCCCATGAGCACCGGTTACCACCAACCGGGCCGCTGCCACGGCATCCGAGCCCCACCCTCAACTAGGACACACCAAACAGACGCGGCTGATCGGAACGAAGCGAAAGCTCGCCTTCCACCCCAAAGCCGACACCTTGACATAGTCGATGACCTCGGCGGCCGGATCAGGGCCAGGGGAACTCCGGCGGCCACCCATAACGGCCGCCAGATGCAACGGAGGGGGCACCCTGCCCCTTCCCGAAGTCCCCTGCCACCACCAGCAAGCCTCCCGCGCACCACCACACCATGGCGCCACCTCGGCCTGACAAGCCCGTCGCTGAGTCCAAAGAAGAGGGAGGGAGCTCACCCGAGTCCGACGCAGACGAACCACCGCCGGAGAGACCCGTCGTTGCCGCGCGCAGATCGGATAACCACCAGGCCGCAGCAGCACCGCTGCAGGCCACCCCACTCCGAAGTCAAGACCGACCTCGGCCACCGCCCCGCGCCGCCCGCCGCCATCCGCGCCAGCACGCCACCGCCCAGATCGGGACCCCCCGCGATCGCCATGATAACCCACAAGTATATGGGATCGCAACAATTTTCGAGGGTATATTATTCAACCCAAATTTATAGATTCGACACAAGGGGGAGCCAAAGAATATTTGCAAGTATAGCAGCCGAGTTGTCAATTCAACCACACCTAGAGATTAATTATCTGCAGCAAGGTGATCAGTATCAAAGTAGTAGTGCAACAGTGACGATAGCAGTAGTAACTTAGCAAGAACAATATAAGATAAATTCATAGGCATTGGATCAGTAATTTGTTGGATGATATTCATCATGTGACAGTCATAACCTAGGGCGATATGGCACTAGCTCCAGTTCATAAATATAATGTAGGCATGTATTTCGTAAATAGTCATACGTGCTTATGAAAAGAACTTGCATGACATCTTTTGTCCTACCCTCCCGTTGCAGCGGGGTCCAATTGGAAGCTAAGGGATATTAAGGCCTCCTTTAAATAGAGAACCGGAACAAAGCATTAACACATGGTGAATACATGAACTCCTCAAACTACGATCATCACCGAGAGTGGCCCGACTATTGTCACTCCGGGGTTGCCGGATCATAACACGCAGTAGGTGACTATAACTTGCAATATCGGATCTAGAACATGGATATAATGGTGATAACATAAACAGTTCAGATCTAAAATCATGGCACCCGGGCCCAAAGTGACAAACATTAAGCATGACAAAGTCATAGAAACATCAACCTCAGAACATAGTGGATACCAGGGATCAGCCCTAACAAAACTAACTAGATTACATGATGAATCCCATCCAACTCCTCACCGACCAGCGAGCCTACGAAGGAATTACTCACTCTCGATGGGGAGCATCATGGAATTGGCGATGGAGAAGGGTTGGTGATGACGAAGATCGAAGATCCCCCTCTCCGAAGCCCCAAACGGACTTCAGATTTGGCCTCCCGATGAAGAACAGAAGGTGACGACGGCTTCGTCTCGTGGATCGCGATAATTCTTTCTCCCTGATTTTTTCCGAAAAAATATGATTTATAGCGTCGGTTTCAAGGTTTGCGGGGCCACCAGGTGGGGAGAACCCACCTGGGCGAGCCCTGGTGGGTTGTGCCCACCCAGGTGCCCCCCTCCGGTGGTTCTCAGCTCCAGAAATTACCTTTTATATTGTATAAAAAATCCTCGCAAAGTTTCATTACATTCCGAGAACTTTTATTTCTGCACAAAAACACCACGGTAGTTCTGCTGAAAACAGTGTCAGTCCGGGGTTAGTTTCATTCAAATCATGCAAATTAGAGTCCAAAACAAGAGGAAAATCGTTAGAAAAAGTAGATGCGTTGGAGACATGTCACGCCACGCCACAAACGAGCCCGCCGCTCGACACCGTGTCCCCACCAGGCAACCCCGCCGTCAAACTCGAGAACGTCGCCGTCCCGCCGGCCCCACGAAAGCCCGGCGCTCCCACTCGACCGGCCGTCTCGCGCCAGCCGCGAAGCACGAGGGGGGAGGAAGAAGAGGCCCCACCGGCCGGGCTTCACCCGACGGTGTCGCTGGGCGGTGGCGAGGAAGGAGAGCAGAGGAGAGGGGGGTCGGGTCGCGGCAGCTAGGGTTTCCCCGGGCCGCTCGCGAGAGCGACACGGGAGGGGAGGGGGGAGAGGGGAGCGTTGTTTTTGTTTGGAAAAAATAAGTATACGTTGCTTCCTTTTGTGCGCTCATATATCTTAAGTACTTGATCTCCCCGCAAAAAAAAAAACTTCGTCTTGGCATTGAGTTATTGCTGCCCGTCCATTGGAACAAGATCCTCTACCTAAGTGCCAGCACACCCAGCACTTCTGCTCAATGAAAGCGTATTTTACACATCAGTAACTTGTTGATATGATCTAGTACCTCTTTTTACCTGTGGTATATGATCTAGTACTACTAAGACCCGCCATGCTAGGCCAGCAATAGCGCAAGCGACAAGGAGGTAACCCTAGCCGCCATCGCTGGGCCTCTTCCCTCTCCTTTCCTCCTTCTCCCTCTCCTCCGTCAAAGGGCTAGGCCAGGCGAAGCCTAGTCGGGCCGGTGACAATGGGATCTCTCGCCCCTTAGTTGGGTGTTCTGGCGTGGGCCAGCGCTGTCTGGCTAAGGTGTAGCAGTGCGGCGGTGGACCTTCATGGTGGCGGCAGCACAACGGGCAACGTGGTGGTGGCGGTGGTGGTGTTGGGCTATGCTAGATGCATTGGCTGCAATATAAAAAAAATCAATTTTGCTAAAGCACATGATATGCCATAAGTAAAGGACTTCCCCTCTCGTTAGGGTTTCTCTCTCCTCTCGAGCGACAGCGACGCTGGCACCGTAGGGATCTTCTCTCCCCGGCTGTTCACCCCCTTCCGGCGATCGCTGTGGCCCTCGGCCGCCGCGGCGTTCGGGGAGGGCGGGGACTTCTTTGGGACCTACCGCTCGCGGATCCCTAACCTCGAGCAAGCGCATGATGGGTTCGACTTCATCTGGATCGAGTACGGCTGCGTCCGATCTAGCTGCGATGATGGAGGAACTTGGCTTGAAAGAAGATGATCTGGTTGATGTCGTGGTGGAAGACACCGAGCTGCCGAAGGAAGAGACACGCTGGATGGCTCTGGCTAGGGTTCACACAGAGAAAACATACAACCAATATTGGTTTTATAGGAATATGAGAGTAGCCTGGGACCTAGCTCAGGAGGTGAAGATCAGACCACTTGAAGATAATCTGTACTCAATGCAATTCTCCTGCCTGGGTGACTGGGAGAGGGTTATGGGAGATGGCCCTTGGAACTTCAAGGGTAAAGCAGTAGTTCTCTCGGAGTACGATGGCTTCACAAAGCTGTCGTCTATAGAGCTCAATAAATTGGACATCTGGATTCAGATTCACGACCTGCCGGACGGCTTCTTCTCTAAGGTCAAAGCTTTGTCGGCGACTGTGGGAGAATTCATATATGCGGAGCCTAGATCCCCGGATTTTGAAGGAAACTTTGCTAGAGTTCGAGTCAGGATCGATGTCACTAAACCCTTGAAGAACGCTATCTCATTGGTAATAAGGAAGAAGGATTCGGTGGAGCGAATGATCTTTAGAGTTAAATATGAAAGATTGCCGGATTGGTGTGCAGTTTGAGGACATCTCGGCCACCAACACAAAGAGTGCGGGGATGGGGTCCATGCCCCAAAGACGCTGGTCTTCAAAGACATCAAGGCAACGTGGTTTAAAGGCCCCGGTAGTGGACCGGGCGAGAGCAGCAATGCAGGGAGAGGCCGTGGGGGAAGAGGAAGAGGACGTTCGTACAATAGTGCTGATTTGTATGACGAACAGTATCGTGAGGAACGGGATCAGCGAGATGGAGATGTAGCAATGACGGAGGTTGATCGCAATAGGAAGAGAGGGGCCAATGATCCAAAAACCACGCTCCCAACCTCTTCAGTACAACAGACGAAGCAACTGTTTCTGCCATCACCTGCGGTGCCTCTCAGCCCTCCTCCCAAGCAGGATCTGAAGAGATCGAAGTCAGCCTCGCCTAATGAGACAGCTCTAGAGAAGTTTACAGATTTCACCAAAAACCTTGATGCGCGTTTGGCGGGCTCCCATGGGGAGTCTCGCCATGCGCAATGAGTCTACTCTGTTGGAACTGCCGCGGGGCTGGCAAAC